CAACTGGAGGCCATCAAAAGCACTCTATTTGGGATTTTTTTGAATAAGCCTAACCTCACTCATAGTTTTACTAAGGTTTTAGCTATTATGAGACATTTTTAGGTTAAGAAAATGTCTTTAAAGTTTGGAGAAGATGTTGAGGTCCCTTTTGAAGCTTCTGAGTTCTCTATGGTGATGGGGTTGTGACATAAGGGGCACGCTGTAGATTTAAAATTGAAGATAAAATCTTCGATTATTGATGATCTATTTTCCGGAAAAAAAATAAAACACTTTGCGGAATGAATTAGCTGACCGATTATTAGAATTAGCTTCGAGGGATGATTGTGTAGATGACTTATGTAGAATATACATTCTTTTTGTTTGTAATTGTGTATTATTTCCTCAAGGCAACTATTTAGAGAATTTGTCTGAATTAGGTTCTTATTCATGGGGAAAAGTTGTTTCTGATTACTTGATCGGCGAAATGAGGGCACATGTAAACCAAAAGAAGATGTACATCAATGGTTGCACCATTAATTAGTAAGTAATATATATTTTAATATCAATTTTTATTTGTATTTTGATTCTTAATTTCCATAACCTATGCATTTTTATAAAACTGGCAGGCTTGGTTTTATGAAACGGTCCCCTTTATCGGGTCACCGACAAGCTTGAGTCGATTTCCTCGATTTTTTAGGTGGGACAATAGCAAGAAGGGCCGAGAAGAATCTAAATTTCAAAATGCACTTGATGAACTTACAACTGAAAAGGTAATAACTTGTTAGTACCACTTGTTTGTTTTTTCTCTATTTAATGTAAAATTATGAAGTACATTGATATCTTTTTGTGTTAATTATTTTTTTACTTAGGTTGTTCTGTTTATTCCAAATCCCAAGAGAACTAGTTGATTGATCTTCCACCCACTTATTCAGATGATTGTACTAATAGTGAATTTCCATCAGCTAATATCGGAGCAGAAGTTCTTCTCAAAGCTAGAGATGATGAAATTATAATTTTGAGGAAGAAAATTGAGGAGCTAGAAGCATTTCGTAAAACTAGAGATCACAAACTTGTATCTTTTAAGAATAAATATGTGGATTTTGAAACGCAAAATGACCAATTTGTCAAGGAAGAAGAGTGCGATGGTATGAATATGAGGGATGATAACTTTTTGACAAGCACATCTGTAAGATTTTAAAACTTCCATTGTTACAGTTTTATGACTTTATCTATACAAAATAGGAGCTGCAATGTGATATTTTCCGACTTTATTTGTACTAAATGCATATTAATTGTCATGTTTTATCTTATTTAAAGGATTTTGTGAATCTAATCTCCGAATTTGGTGATATTCAAAAGAATAAAGAAGGGGAGGATAAAGAAGATAAAGAAGATGACGAGAGTAAAGGACAGAAAGAAGAGGACGAGCATGAAGAAGAGAAAGAAGAGAGGGGCATGGAAGAATGCAAAGAAGATGATGAGAATGAAGAAGATAATGAAAATGATGAAGAAGAAAAACAAGAGGGCGATAATGAAAAAGAGAAAGAAGAGGAGGAATCACTTAAGAAACAAGAAAAATACGGTCAAAAAGACGTTACGATTCCTCTATTGTTCGAAATGTTCAAAATAGAAATGATAGAAAAGAAAAAACGAGAGCGGAAGGTTTTGTTACTCCACCAGCACTAAGCACGTCCCCATGAAAAAAAATTAGAGTCATTGCAAGAAAATATGGACGTGGAAGAAGAAAAAAACACTGCGACGTAGCCGTGAAACTGTTATACAAGAAACACCACAAACGGTATATATTTTTATACATTATTTTTTTTTGTATTGTTTCTTGAATATATAATTGTGCACCATTTGTTTTAGGATGACCTTGAAATCTATTGTGGGCGGAAAGATTACAATGGTCGTGATGAGATTGTTGACATTGATAACGAAATATTGGACAATTATATGCCCGAGGATGTCTTGGGGTTAGAAGTGGTACATATTTTTAAAGATCATTTGTATCATTTGTTTGTTTATTTATTTTATATTGTTTCCCGAGTCTATTGAATATATAATTGTGCACCATTTGTTTAAGGAACATGAACTCTATCGTGGGCGGAAAGATTATAAAGCTCGTGATGAGATTGCTGATGTTGATAGAGAAATGTTGGACAATTTTATGTCCAAGGATGATTTGGGGTAACGAATTTTGTATGTTGTATTTGTCTTCATAAATAAAAAATTATATCAAGAAATGATTTTAAATACAATAGGGCAATTTTATGGACAACTCGCATATATGCGATCGATGGAAGGCGCATTTGTGGGCTACTATTTGGTGAAAAACTTTCTGGAGATACCATAGATTGCTACATGATCACTCTATCTAGACATTCCACTTCAATCGGATATGAGATTTGCTACATTTCAACAATTGTACATGTATGGTTAACGCATACTATTTTGTTAACTATTATGTATCAAATCAATGATTATATTATATATATATATATATATTCAATAAAAACTACTTGTATTTCTTATACATCGTTCTATGTTTCATAGGTTGAAATGCTTAGAATTGTTAAAGACATTAACTTTGTTAACATCAATGACAGTAATTATAAGGAGTTGATGCATAGCATGAATTCAATGTGAAAAAATATATTGGAGAAAATAAATGATAACAATTTCTCGACATATCGATTTATTCTTATACCGATAAACAGAGATTGTCATTGGTTCCTCCTAGTTCTAGACACAACCCTTAAATAGTTTTTCTACTAGAACTCAACAATGACCCCAGATACAAATCGGTTGTGAAGAAAATTTTAAGTTCTTATTTTTCAACACGTATTTCTCCTATTTATTTATTTTGGTTAAAAACTTATGAAATAAATATTGTAGGTTGAGTTTTACAGCAAATATTTTTGTGTTAAGTTGGGGATTGTATTGCCTACCGCTTTTGAAGCGGTAAAATGCCAACAACAAGACGGTACCGTGGATTGTGGTGCATATGTATTTTTTGGGCAGAGTGTTATGCTAGAGGAACTCAATGGATGTGGAAATATGTAGAGAGTTTCTCTATGGATGCGGTTCGAGCACGCATTGCGTGCGCATTGATGAATCATAAAATTGACGATCTTGTATTGCGCCCTTAAAGTAACCTCATGTATTTATTTTTAGTCACTTTTGGAAGATGAACCTACGTACAATTTAGTACAAACAAAGGTAGATGTTTGTATTTTATTGTGTCGAATTTAGTAGTTTGGATGTTTTTTTTTTTTTTTGTTTTTGCAAAAATCAAAGTGAAAATTAATGGTATCACTCATTATTGAGCAAATTATACGTCATATTTGAATTACTTATTCCAAGTTGTCTCGCTTATTACGTCTCTCCTATTGTTGGTCTTGTTCATCTTTACCTACAATACTTATGCATCCAACACTTGGTACACATATAGGTGACTGATAGTATTTTGTTACGACAGATGTGGGACTTAGGAAAGTTTGAAGAAAATTATAATGTCAAAATCATTGACCACCGCTATACATTATTTAAATTAGATATTTAAAGTTATACGTTGAATTCCACTATTATATAGCTACAACTTGTACACCATCGACCATTTATGTTTTAAGAAAAGTTTGCACTATGTATTCAAAATATATTACTAAATCATATACCAAGTAATTTTGAACGTGTATTAAAATGATTAAATAGATTTGATATGTATTGACATTGCTTTCATAATTTCAAAAAACTAAAAAAAGTACCAATAGACTCTTTTAGTACATGATTCATAATTCCGTACAGTAAAAAATACCAATACTCTCCCTTAGTACATGTATCCCATATTATTAGTATTTTTCATCTTTATATATAGTACTTATGTGTTCTGAACTTAGTACACACGCAGGTGACTGGTAGCACTTTGTTGCGTCTGGTCTTTCGGAAAAATATGTTCATAGTTGTCTGTTGAATTCCACTTGTATGACCTACACTAATGACTATGTGATATCTAGCTACAACATGTACAACATCAACCATTTATATTGTAAGAGAAGTTTGCACTATATAAACAACACATATTACAAAGTCATATACCAAGTAATTCCAAATACACTCACTTAGTACATGAAATTGGTAATATTTTGTTATGTCGGATCTTGCACTTCGAATATGTTTGAAAAATTAATGATATCGATGATCATTGAACAGCGCGATACGCTATTTGAATTAGTTATTGAAAGCTGGCTTTGTATTCCACTTGTATGACTATATATATAGTTATAACTTGTCCATCGAAATCACAAACGACCATTTATTTTTTGAAGACAAGTTAAAACTATGTTATCAAACCATTACAAAATCATAGAAAAAGTAATCCCAAATATGTTTGAAGACATTCAAAGAGATGAAATGCATATTGACATTACTTTCTTACTTTCAAAACCCACAAAAATACAAATAGATGTCTTGCATATTTTCTGTATTGTTCGTCATTGTTCGTCATTATATGTATAAACGCATGGGACAACTAGTATTGTTTTGTGTCGTGTCCAAAACTTGACGATTTATTTTAAAGTTAATGTCAAAATTAGTATCATTGAACCCAGTTATATATTATTTCAATTGATGTACATATTGAATTATTGGAACAATAATATGGGGTAAGTTACTAATAGTCAAATTTTAACATGATAAAAAATGACATGAAATTTGATAATACCAATATTTATTTAATTTGTTCGTTTAGTACGATCTGCATATACACATAGTACTATGAGTGTACACATGATGACTACATGCAAACTACTATATGAAAACAGTTGACTGCATTTTTCATTATGGGACATACATTCACTGATGTCGTTTGTTACAAAAAACAATAACACAAATAAACACTAGTAAACAACTTCGAACAATCAATTACAAAAGATCCAAAATTAATAAACATTAAAAAATAACAATACATCAGAAAAAGCATAACAAGTGTATAAATATTTCAATACATGACACCAAAGGCATTAACAACAACAAGGCTTAGATGATTGCTTGTTTACAAGAGCGACGGTTATACCACACCGTTTACACTTAGTAACACGAGTCTGAACTTGTGAAGGAATTCTTTGAGTTCTTCTACGACCCGCCTGAGATCTCACATCAGGTGCATTAATGACATCATCATCATCATAATCTTCATTCCAAAAATCCATATCAAAGGTAGGTATAGGGTTTAAAATTGGCTGGTAAGTTTTTTTGTACATATCAATCTTATAGTAACGATCCATGTAATCATATACCGAAAGTCCTTTCGAATCGATACATACACAAGCATGCTTGCACAGTATCTTTTCGATCTGCCATGCTCTCCAAGAACAAGTCCATGCATGAAAATCCACAGCATATGATTTCTCGTTTTCAATTACCTCAAAATTCCAAGTGCCAAACCTATCAATCCTTAAAGTACGTGTGGTCGTATAATTTAGTGATATCTTTTTCTGTTGTTTGGGGCAAACTTCTCCAACCATCGCATATGAGTCTTCTCGTCGATCATGCATAAAATTCATTATTTGCTTGCGAATGTGATCGACCATAGTTACAACGGGCATAAATCGGGCCTGTTTCATCCAACCATTCCAACATTCTGCCTGATTATTATTTATCACGCCCCATCGATTTTTAGGAAATAGTGAATTCGCGCAACATTGCGGCTTAGATCTCATAATAATGTCCTCAGCAAGAGGCATTAAATCTAAAATCTTCTTAATGTCGAACTTGTACTCTTGCATTGTAGGAGCATAAGAAGCTTTTTTCAAGACAGAAGCCTAATGAGTCTTGTTATGTAAAGGGTATCTCCTCAAAACCAGTATTTAAAAGTAAATAATATTGCATGCTTTGTTACGGATCATGTTACAATATGTTTTTCTTCTTGAGCAAGCAAAAATAAAAAAATGTTCCAGTATTAAATAATCACAATGTAGTAATTTATGTTTAATGATGTACTACCGAATATGTCATGTTGCATGGCTTTGTACTAATTTGTCAAAAATAAATATGAAATTTTATGCAATATTGGATTTGAAAACAAAAAATAAATTTGTACCTATTTCTTGAAATCATCCACCAAGTGATGAAAACAATAAGCATGGTGGCTCCCAGGAAATATCATGGGGACAACCTTAAGAAGACCTGAATGTTGATCAGAGAAAAAAATATACCATGTTAGTTCCATAGGGCCTTTCTAAAACTTGTTTTAACTTCATGCAAAACCACTCCCGGTTAGTATCATTTTCTGCATCAACAACTGCATATGCTAGAGTGAATAGATCGTCATTAGGATCCTTACAAACATCACTAAGTAAGCACCCTTTATACTTACTTTTGATATATATTCCATCTAAAAAATATTAGCGGCCTACATGCCCGTAGAAAACCCACCAGGAAAGTATTGAAACATGTGAAAAGGCGAAGAAGTTTTGACTAATTGGGTCAACTTCATATTGTGCAACGCTCCCGGAATTTGTTTGTCTAACAGCAAGACAATACCATCTCAATTTATCATTACATCCTTTCTCCGTCCGCCCCATGGATATCATGCATAGCAATTTCTTTACCTCTCCATGCTTTGTGGTACTTAAGTTCAAAACCATATTGTCTGTTGATATCATCCAACACAGTGATTGGCCTGTAGTTTGGATCTCCTCTCAATTTATCCTTTATAATGTTAGCAACCCAACCAGAATCAGCTTTAGGATGTCCCCGCGCGCGAAGATTAACCACAATACATGTGTGCTCAAGATTACATTTTCTAATGCCAAATAGTTTGTCAGAATTGTGCACCGATGCATAAATTCTCCATTTGCAATCTTTATCGCAATAAATTGCTATAATTTTTGCACTGGCATTATTTTTGTACACAAATAACTGCATATTAGCTACCATATAATTTTTTAGCATTGCTATAAACTTGTCGACATCCTTGAATGTTTGACCCTCGCCAATGATCAATATCTCCACGCATCAATTGAGTTCCATACTAAAATCATTTCATTTTGTGATGCGCCAATAGAATCTATACCGTCCTCCAATGCATTCCTTTGAGTTAAAAAATGGAGAAAAAATAAAAATAAATATTGAATAACGCAAAGTGTATGTACGGACAAATAAATTGCAGCAATGTATAAAAAAATTTAACAATGAAAATAAGTAAAATCTAAAACTTCCCTGCTATAGTACTAAATGTCTCATCCTTCATTTTTAACTGAGTCATGTTTCAATACTACAAATTCCATGGTGTACTACTAGATTTTTATGATTCAGTATGTTACAAATACAATATAGCAATACAAGTAATTTGATTTAATAAAAAACACGAATCCTACAATCATACACTCCCATTTTGTTTTTAAAATTTTAACTACAATAAACAATGAAAAAGTCCAGCCAACATTTTTTTCTCTTACAATCTAACCCTAGATAAAAAAAGGGCTCGTTTGGAAGAAAGATGGAGTGCGGCCAGTAGAGTACATGTAAGGCACAGTCGGGTTGCTCACGCAGCGGATCTTATTATTATTTAAATAAATAAATAATCGAAAAATAAAAATTGAATAAAATAAAAGGACAAAGTAGTAATGGGTAATGGGTAGGAAATATGCTTCAAAAAAACGGTAGGAAATAGAGGGAGAGTAAATTAGAAAATAAAAGAATGTTGGGTCCCTCATTAATAAAAGAATAGGGACTGGACACATTCTTATTATAATGTTTATTTTTGTTATGCCATAGTAATTGAAAGTGTTTTTTCTCAAATATTACATAAAAATAATATATTTTGACATGAATAAAATAAGATATGAAAGTAAATTATTATTATTTTTTTAAAGGTAGGCCCGGTTATTATTTTTAGTAAATTCAAGTCTATTGCAAGGGGAAGTAGGGGAGGGGGGGACTCGAACCCTAGACCTTTACCCTATTGGTAGAAGCTATGTACCAACTCTCCTAATAAGGGTTGGTTAGATATGAAAGCAAATTAAAAATAACTAATAGTTTAATAAATCAATATGGAGAGATGAAAGAGTATACACCTACATCACATATACTTTCGTATGTAGATGTTGTCTGTGCATCTACTTCTCATAATACCTCTATATTGAGATGTAATATGTCTATTTGATAGGGTCAGTTTGGCAAGTTTCCCCCAAAGTTGGGCACTCATGACGAAATAAGGTGAGCCATGAAAATTGAAGGGATTTGAGGAGCCGAAGGCCAATTATCAAAGGTTATAAACCACAAATAGCTCGCCACTAGAAAACAGAAAAGCTCACTACTTAAAAAGGGCGCACAAAGAGGTGTTTGCCTGGGAAATGAAGATTCGGAAGAAAATGTGGTAGTTGGTGAGCCGGCGAAGAGCTATTGGAAGAGCAAGACGTTGGATTTTCATACCATTTATAAATTCGGAAAGTAAACCAATAAATGTAAATCTCAACCTAATTAAGCCGAGTTAAAATAGGAAACAATTAGAAATGTTCTCCTATATTAAGTCTTCTAATAAATCCAATTAAGATCTGAGGTCCGGTGTACTTGCCACGGTAAAAAAAGAAAATAGGGATTGGAGTGAGGTCTTGAGGGCGTATATCCTACATCATCACCATCTATGTCAAACATGCCTATATTTTGAGATATAAATGATTTATGTGCTTCACATGTGTTTTTGTTCTCTTTTTTTTTTTGGACAAATTTTACATGCGTTTACATATAGAGTTGTAAATGGTCGGTGTACATCTCAAGTACCTACATAGATATATAAATGACCCATTTAAATCCACATCTTATTTGAGTACAAATGATATTTATGTTCCTATGTCACATGGTTATGATTCTCCACTTACCTCATATCAATCATACTAAGATACTTAGTTCTATTTAGGGTTTCACATTTGAACCTTAAATTTGGATATTCAAATATCCATAAGCATATGCCACTACAATATATTACTTTCAATGTTTTATTTCTATTATAAGTATACTGAAATCCTATACAGTCGACATCGTTATTCAGTAGTAGACAAGACACTTAAGTTGTTGTAGACGTACTCAACGAGATCTTGATGTTCATCTAATTGGTTGGCACATTAATGTGACTTCGTTTGTGATTTTGTAGAACATTTTTATTTAGTAAAACTTATTTTATTTATTATTTACTTATTCTAATTTCTTTCTTAAATTTTAGTTATATAAATTAAATAAGTATTACAAACAATAATTTTTCATCAATTAATTCACATCTCAATTAATTAAGAAAATCTACAATTTCAAATAAAAAATAATTTTCAAAATGATAAGTTCAATTTTTGTAAGTGAAACTTAAAAAAATATAAATAGTGGTGTTGCCATTTGGATGCCAGAAATGACTAAAAGAAAGTCAAATATTTTTTGCCATTTGAAATGGGGACAATTGAAAACAAAGTAAAAAAACAAGTGTGGCGCTATGGACTGCTGAAAACTTGCCTCTCCATCTACAATACACGCTAGTTTAGAAATTTCTCTCGAAAGTGCTACTTTTCTATAAATTATCACATTTTGTTAATTGTCTCCAAATATCCCTTTGTTAAAAATTTGAGGTTTACATTCTTTTTAGAAAAAAAATATTAAAGTATAATTTCCATATTTATATTACGAAATAAATGATGAATGAATGAAAAAAGTCGAGGCAAAATTTTTATTCTTTGTCCGTAAAAATATTTACCCGTATAAGTGCTCACATTCGTAGTCCATTATCCCCAAGATACAACGACTTCAGGGATTCAAATTTTGCAGCACAACAATATTCGAATTACAATGAACAAAAAGAGAGCCTTGAACTTTCTTAAACACGCGGGAAATGATGAACAATATTCTTTTGTATACTATGAAGTGCACGAATTCGAATGAATGAATAATTCTCTGGCAGAGGGTTCGCTCTATAGGGCTGAAAAAGTTGTGTGCAAAAGACACAAGTTTCTGGAAAAGAAGGGGCTGAAAAGGTACTTACATTTTCGCAGGGATCAAAAACCAATTCGGTTCAGAAGGCACCTTTTGGATGAGAGGGAGCCACTTGGCGCACACGTGGATGATGATGTCATCGAGGACACATGTCGCGTTCCGATTAGCTAGCTTTAATTAATTAAACCGACAAAAATTAGTCAGTTTGAGTTCAAAATAGGCCCAACTCCAAACCAAACATTCTCTAGGCCCACGTAGCACAGGCACAACACGGGTCAGGCAGGGCAGCGGCGTGCGTGTGGCTATCTACTATTTAACGTGTTCATCAAAATCTTTTTCCAAAGAGGGATGACGTTTTTTCACCTCCTATTTCCCATAAATAATCTTATTTAAGTCTCCATCTTTAGACATTAATTTATCATTTTATGAAAAGCCATTCTCGAGAAATTAACTACATTAGATTCATGTTGTCGAAGTATAGATCGTAAATATTCTATTTATTTCCATTTTCGATAAACGAAAGCCACTTAAATATTTTATTAAAGTTAGGAGTAAACTCACTTTTTCTAACATTTTCATTCCTTCAATTTATGTATGGAAATATACTAGAAAAATAATATTGTATGGCAAACAACATTTCAATTATCCTAATTACTAAAAACTCATCTTGTTATTTTTATTAGTAAAGTCTTATGTGATCGACAAAAAAATGAAAAAAAACATAACTCATCAATTAAGGAATTGTGAGATACAAAAATGTACTCTTTTATTGTATCAAATATTTGCTTGATTTTTAAACTTTTAGACAGTA